CAGCAGCAGCAGCAGCAGCAGCAGCAGCAGCAGCCTCGGCCTCGTCAGCGCCGTCATCACCCAAAACGTCGACAGCTTCCACCCGCAGGCCCACCCGCACATGCCGACCCTCGAGCTCCACGGCTACCTGCGCAACACGGTCTGCGTCACCTGCCGCAGCGAGTTCCCGCGCGATGCGTTCCAGGCCGAGCTCGCGCGCCTGAACCCGGCCTGGGCCGCCTTTCTCGAAGAGGTGCTCGCGTCGGGCGCCCTCGAGACGGAGGACCCGGACGAGCGCCGCGCCAGGGGCATGCGCACCAACCCCGACGGCGACGTCGACCTCCCCGGCGCCCCCTACACGACCTTTCGCTACCCGGCGTGTCCGAGCTGCCTCGCGCACCCGCCGCCACGAGCTGATGCGGACGGGGATGGCAGGGCTGCAGGGGCTCACGTCGTCGAGGTCGACGGCGACGGCGCGTGGAAGCCGGGCCGCAGCACGGCAGGCATCCTCAAGCCGGCCGTCGTCATGTTCGGCGAGAGCATACCGGACGAGGTCAAGGCGGCGGCCGAGGCGGCCGTTGACGGCGCCGGGCGGCTGCTCGTGCTGGGGACGTCGCTGGCGACCTTTTCGGCGTGGCGCATCGCCAAGCGCGCGCTCGACCGCGGCATGCCCATTGCCGTCGTCAACGTCGGCGGCGTGCGCGGCGAGGAGCAGCTCTTTGCCGGGGTCGACTGGAAGCAGACGGGCGAGCAGCGGGTGCGCGTCGAGCTGTCGACCGACAAGGTGCTGCCGGCTGTCGTAGAGACGCTGCGCAGGACCAACGGCGGCCCTGGCGTCAAGGCGAGGAGAGAGGTGGCGGCGGCGGCGGCGGCGCCCGAGGTGACGAGGGGGAACCATGGGGCGTTCAAAGACATGTTATCATAGGCGAAGGGCAAGAGTAGTGTAGTTTGTATTCATATTTTCCCCCCATTGTTTTTTTTTTTGACAATCCCCCGAGTTTTTTGTCCGTCGCTTAGAAGAAGCTGCCCATGCCGGTTGCTTGTTGCTGCTGTGGCTTGGGCGATTCGGAAAGGGCCTCGCCGGCATGAGCGGTTCGTAGGGGGGCCTCGGCGTGGAGCTTGGCCTTGGCGTTTGCCTTTTCTTTTCGGACGGCATCATCGCGCTCGATTTCGCGTAGAACTGTGAGAAGAAAATAGTCAGCGACGTGGTGTTGCCGAGTCGAAGTACTTCCAATCAGCCGACTCAAAGTACCAGCCAGCCTTACCATCGTCCCAGCCCTGCTCCCGCGCCGCATCGCCCGTGCCCAGGGCCCGCTCAACGTCGACCTTCTCCCCCCTCTGTATCCTCTCGACGACCTCCCGCAGCAAGCCGATGCGCACGTCAGACTGGCGCATGAAGGTGTCGAATCGCTGGCGCAGGGCAATCATGTTGATGGACATGGAGCCGATGAGCAGGAAGATGACGAGATAGAAGGTGGCGGGGTTCCACTCCTTGGAGCGCTTCGGTTTGACGCGCTTGATCATGGGGTCGTCTTGGAGTTTCTCTTGGCGGCGAAAGGGTTTCGGGACGAGGGACTTCCAAAAGTCGGTCGAGGCGACGCTGGGGAGAGAGGAGGAGGGGCGGCATGCCGGCAGGTTGCTGCGCGTGATGGAGGGGGCTGCTCGGGTCACTGTTCGCAGAGGTGCTGCTGACAACAGCGTTCGGTTGATATGGCGAGACATGGTGGTGATTCTATGTACAATAGGGCCCGGGGAGAAGAAGGAAAGGGAAGAAAAATGATGGCCAGAGGTTGAATCGGATATGAGGTGATGCTCGGATGGTTGCACTTGCAGCCTGCAGCCTCCAGACGGCAAGAAAAACAGGGTCCAAATGCCGATGGCACCAGCCACAGCATCGAAATCCCACCACACGCCCCAGCCCCAGCCACAGCCACAGTCCGTTACCCTGGACAACCGGCTCGAAAACGGTGCAGAGAGTAACAAACCGAGAGACGGTCTTGACGTCTCGACCCTGAAGCCACACATTGCGACGTCACGTCACGAGAGACTCAATTGCTTCTGCTCTTGGTACCTCTTCCATCTTCATTGCTCGCAGTTTCTGGGCCCAGGGCCTCTGTTATCAATTATCTCTTCTTTGTTTCCCTTGGACAGTCCTCTCCACGACGGCACGCCCCATGACACGACGCACATGACTTCCCTCCAGAACAAGGTCGACGCCGTCAAGGCCGCCATCACACCGACAACAACATGCACCTCTGCGACGACAGTCCTCCTCAAGGACCTCCTCATCACCGAGTCTGATCATCACACATCATCATTACCACCATCAACAACAACAACAACAACAACAGCCTCGAGCAATGCCGCCAGCAAGCCCACGAGAGGCGCGTCCGCCCGCCCCAAAACCCCCTCCACCACGCGACAGCGAGCGCCAACAACGACGACGACAACGACGAAACCAACAGCCGCGCGCCAGCCGAAACCCGAAAATGACCTCTCGAGCAAGGAAAAGGCCGCCCTCGCCACCCACGTCGTCAACGCCGGCCTCAAAGCCCTCACCGAGACGGCCAAACCAGCCCCCACGGCGCCTCCGAGCCAACCACCCACCGAGCCAGCGCCGCCGCGAAAGCGCCCCGACGCCGCCGAGCCGAGGAGGGGCCTCCGACGGTCGAGCTCCATGCCCATGCCGCCCCTGCAGCCGCGCGCCCTGAACCGCGTCTCGACGTCCCCCATGCTGCCCAAGACGGCCACCGGCCGGCCGCAGTCGGCCCACGGCGGCGGCGGCGGCGGCGGCGGCGGCGGCGCGGCGCCCGCCTCGTCTTCGTCCTTCGCCGCCGCGTGCCTGCCGCTCGTCGAGTGCCTGCGCGTCGCCTTTGCCTGCCTGCGCTCGCTGCATGCCGCCGGCAAAGTGACGCTGCCCGAGGGCCAGCTCGAGGCCGGCATGTCCTCGTTTGTCACGAAGCTGCTGGGTCTCGGCCTGCAGGACCACGCGCTGAGGGAGCTGGCCGTCTTGAAGAGGAGTCTTGCACAGCTGGACGCGGCAAAACCGAGCACCAAGACGGACAAGGCCGTGGCCGCGGCTTCTCACGCCAACACACTGGCGACAAATCCGGCCCATCTTCTCGACTACGGCGCCATCAAGGCCTCTGGTGCGATTCTCGGCCTCGTCATCACGTCTCAGCTGCACGCTCTGCGACTCGTCGCGGCGGCGAAGAAACCTGCCATGATCGAAGCGGCGGTGCCCTTTCTCGGCGACCATCCCTCCTCACCGATGAACCTGCTGTCGAGATACGCCAAAGAGTCGGCAGCGGCGAAAAACAAGGCGGCGCGCCAGCTCGAGCAGTTCTCCCAGCTCATCCTGTCCCTGCCGCCAAGCGTGTCCAGCAAGGAGGATGCCCTCGCCGCCGAGAACCGCCTCAGCTGCTCACCGACGGCGGCTCTCCAGTTGCACTCTCTCGGCTTCGAATACCGCCTCTGCTGGTGGGCCATGGCCGGACACGAGGCCGACGTGGACGGCGATCTCATGCTGCCCCTGTCTCGCTGCATGGCGGCCTTCGTCCGGCGCTGCGCGACGCCCACGCCGGCGGCTTTCCAGGTCGCGCGCGGCGCCTACACGCGCATCACCGACCTCTGCGCACACCAGCGCCTGCAGCCCTCGACCTCGGCCGCTTCCCCGCTGGCGGCCATCTACCAGACCCTCGGCACCCTCGCGCAGAGCGCGCGCCTGTTCACCGAAGCCGCGACCTGGCTGACACTGGTCAAGGGCCACCTCGACCCGGAGCAGAGCTCGGCCGCCAAACGCTGCTCCGTGGCAGCGCAGCTGCTCGCCGTTCAGGCGAAGCGCGAGGACACACCGACCCAGGAGCTCGAATCCCTGCTCCAAGAGATCATCGGCGAGCTCAAGGGCACACTCAAAGGCGACTCTGCCGAGCTCGAGGAGCTCATGATCAACCTCACGGCCGCGAGGCGGTCAACCGTCGGCCTCCTGGTCCACAAGGAGTCTTCCCTACCTCGACCCATGACCGCCTCCTGTCACGACTTTGTCCTGCAGTTTCCGCACTTTGCCCTCCGCTGGATGGGCAAGGCGCCGGCGAGGGACGCCGACGCAAAACACACGATTCGCTACGACCAACGCCGGCAGACTCTCCTCGCGACGGCCACGCAGATTATGGACTCGGCCTTTGTCGTCCTCAAGGCCAAGATTTCGAAAGACGACATGCCGTGGGCCCAGCTCGACGGAACGCTACAGGACTGCCTCACGCTGCTCGAGCACCTCGGCGAGACGAACCTGCTGCAGAAGAGCGACGGCGCCAACACGTACCCTGTCAAGGTCTCCTCGCTCTACTACTACCACGCCGATCGCGTCCAGCGCGGCGGCGGCACCGAAAAGGAGGACGGCAAGGCCGTGCTGCGGCCCATCAAGCGCTCGATCGAGGCCGTCGCCGACCGGTCGCCGCGCGAAAAGGAGCGCGCCCAGCTCGTCAAGAAGCTCGAGCGCTTCTCCGAGCTCTCGCGGGCGTCTGGGCGCCTCGCCGAGGCCCGCGACGCTCGCAAGGCCATCTGCACAAACATGGTCGAGGACGGCGTCCTCGCGGCCGTCGCGGCGAGCCTCAACGACAAGGCGCCCGCCCTGGCCTGGAGGGCCGACGCCAAGACGGAGGCGCTGTCGCGCACGCTGGCCGCCATGGTCAAGCTCGACCAGGCCTGGAGCGACTGGACGTTCTTCCTCGCCGAGCTCGAGCGCGCCGCCGTGCTCGAGCACCTCATCCAGATCATCGTCTCGGATGCCGCCAAGGGCAGCGGCGGCGGCAGCAGCAGCAGCAGCAAACCGACCGGCCTCTCGAGCTCCGTGCCCGATGCCCTGCTGAGGCTCTACTCGCTCGAGCGCTTCCCCGTCCGCCGGCTGCGCACGCTCTGCCTGCTGCTCGCCATGAGCATGGGCGAGCAGCACGAGTTCCAGTCCCTGCGCGTCCAAGTCAACGCGACCCTCGATGCCTGCCGCAGCAGCGCCTTTGGCGACGACGCTTCCCTCGCCAAGTTCCTCCCCCACCACGAGGCCCATCTCGCATCCATGATTGCTCTCATCGACACGGATCCAGCGTCGGCGACGAACGATCTCGAGGCGCCTGTCGCGGCGTGGCGCGCCATGATCGCGCGCTGCACATCCGTCGACGACATGTACGCCTGCATCGATGACCCAGAGCAGCTCCTGCGACACCTTGGCTCGGTCGAGGCCTTTGCCAACCTGCGCGGCGACGACGTGCTCCGTCTCGCCGTCCTCGAACTATCCACCGACCTGACCCGCCTCATGACAAGCTCGTCCATCAACACCGTGCTCCTCAGCCACAGCGCCCTCGCCGACCACTACCTCGATCTCGGCCACGAAGCCAAAGCAAAGGACATGCTCGCCAGAGCCGCTCTGCTCGCCACACCAGACGAGTCAGAGGCGGGCCCATTGTCGGGGTCGGAAGTGGCCTGGGTGAGCCTCCAGCTGTCCTCGGTCGAGTACCACCTCGCCGCGCACAACCACGTCGAAGCCGAGGCCGCTCTCGCGGAGGCCAAGGCCGCGTTCGACAAGCAGACGACGCCGCCAAAGGGCTCCAGCCTGCAGCGGAGGCTGCTCCTCGCGCGCGCGACCTACGTGTACTCGCTCGTCGCCATGGGCAAGGGCGAGACGCACCAGGCCCTCAACTATGCCAAGAACAACGTCAAGCTCCTGTACTCGAGCTGGGCCAAGCTTGAGGCCCGCAGCCCCGCCGCCTCGCACGAGTCTTCGCAGCTGTCCATCGCCACCAGCTCCGCCGACGAGGATGACGGCGGCAGCAGTCTCCAGAAGAGCACGACAGGCAGCAGCAGCAGCAGCAGCAGCATCCTCCACGTCGCCGACGGGCCCGACTACTGGGCCCTCGCCTGCGCCCTCCTGCGGAGCATGTTCCACCTGTCGTCCGTCTATGTGCACATTGGCATGTTCCAGGAGACGCTCTACTATGCGGAAAAGGCCCTGTCGATCGCAGAATCCATCGACTCGTTGGCCCACAAGACGCAGGCGCAGAGCTGGATCGGGTCCGTGTGGATCAGGGCCAACAAGCCTGAGAAGGGGCTCAACCTGCTCCAGCGAGCGCGGGAGACGCTCGGGTCGCAGAAGCCGTCGCGGCGAGCCATGCGCCTGGCGTGCGAGCTCAGCGCCTCGTACGGTTTGCTCAAGGACCGGCAGAGCGAGGAGGAGCTGTTCGGCACGGCGGAGGCCATGCTCAAGACGCTCGGCGGCGCCGGCGTCGTCGGTGGTTCTGCGAACGATGATGTGGTGGAGAAGATGCAGAAGCTCACCCTCGACGATGCGGCTACCGCGACGAAGACCGCGCGAGCCGCCCGCACGACGCGCGCCACGAGGACGACACGAACTGCTGCGGCGGCACCCAAAGCTGCAGCCAAGAAGCCTACCACGACAGCAACAAGGACGAGGGCTGCTGCGCCCAAGACGAGAACAGCCGCCGCCGCCGACGTTGCTCCCAAGGCCACACCCAAGTCTCCCGCGCTGCAGACCTCGATGCTCATCAGCAAGGCACTCGTGCACCTCGACAAGAAGGACTGGGCGGCCGCCATGGAGCTGCTCGACGAGTCGCAGAAGACGTCCGTCGGGTTGAGGCAGTCTCTCACCGTGCAGGTCCACAGGGCGGCCTGTCTCATCGGACAAAGCCTCGAGGAGATGCTCCACGATTCCG